CTTTGTAAAAACCTTTCTGAAAGCTATGAAGTTGTATTTCCCAAATAGAAGTTTCCCTTATGTTCAACATATTACAAAAAGAGATAAAATATCCGAAAACATTAAAAACACGGAAAATGTAGGGGTATGAACTCACCGTTTGACGTAGGATCTGGGTGTATGATCGGTTACGAATGTTGATTGTCAACCGATGTTTCGTACGCAAGTGGATCCTATTAACATGTGATAACACATATGTGTGTTAGAATTAGGGTGTTTCATGGCTAAACATGACGGAAAACCACCCTAAAGACTTGGAAATGCTTGTCGGGACCCTATATGATCAAACAAGGGAGGTGTACGGCCAAAAGGGTGTGTGTGCGGCCAGGGTGTGCGGTCAGCAGGTGTGTGCGGTTGCACACAGGAGTGTGCGGCCGTACACAAGAGTGTGCGGCCGTACACTCCTCATTTATGCCCGAAATGTCGATTTTGAGGTGTTCTTGTGCTAATACCAAGTTATACTGGTGAATGAAGGCCAAACTCTTCACTTTGGAGAGCTTTAAGGTGTGTGCGGCCACCTTATGAAGGTGTGCGGCCGTACACCTTCAAAGGATGAAGAACACGAAGAACACCATGAGTTTTAGGCTTAGATTCAAGTGTCTTACCACTATAACAAGTTGAATGATGGAGTAGTTCACGTTTTTGAGGCCTTTTAAGTGTTCTTGGATGAAGTTTTTAGAGAGAGAAAGTAGAGAGAGAAAGTAGAGTGCAGCCAAATGAAAGGAATGAGTGAAAGGGTCACCCTATATAAATAGGGATGCATGTGCGGCTGGAGGATGGGTGTGCGGCCACACACTCGTGTATGCGGCCATACACTCGGGTGTGCGGCCACACACTCATGTGTGCGGCCATACACTTGGGTGTGAGGCCACACACCCGGGTGTGCGGCCATACACTCGGGTGTGCGGCTACACACTCATGTGTGCGGCCATACACTCGGGTGTGCAGCCACACACTCATGTGTGAGGCCATACACTCGGGTGTGCGGCCACACACTCGGGTGTGCGGCCATACACTCAGGTGTGCGGCCACACATTCATGTGTGTGGCCACACATTCATGTGTGTGGCCACACACTCCTTTTGATGGAGTGTTTGGCCTTTTTGCAACCCTAAATCTTAAACCAACCCATCCCTAATTCAAACTTTGGTTGTACAAGGCTTTAGATCATCCAAACAGGCTCAAAACAATGCTAAAGATAGATGAAACGAGTTTAACATTGATAGAATTTGACTAAGGTACAAGATAGAAATTTCGGGTTGTCACATAAAGACGTGGCTACCCCTCTAAACTCTTCTCAAGTTCTCCACCCTATGGATGGGTCACCAAGCGTTGATCCGACACCGTACCGCAAATTGGTAGGCTCTCTTCAATATCTTGCATTTACACGACCTGATGTTTCTTTTGCTGTTAATCGGTTAGCCCAATTTATGCATGCTCCTATCGAGAATCATTGGCAAGCTCTAAAACGGGTTCTACGGTATCTCAAGGGCACAATACACCATGGACTCTTTTTCAAACGAGGCTCCCCGCTACATTTAACAACTTTTTCTGATTCAGATTGGGGAGGTATACTACATGGGGGTCGTTTAACTACTGCCTACATACTATATTTGGGGTCCAACATCATCTCCTGGAAATCATCACGACAAAAATCTGTCTCCCGGTCCTCCACCGAGGCAGAATACAAAGCTTTGGCAAATGCAGCTTCTGAAATCTCATGGGTTCAACACTTACTCAATGATCTTGGTGTTCCTCAGTCTCTACCACCTACGTTATTTTGTGATAACACAGGTGCCACCTATCTATGTGCCAACCCAGTCTACCATTCACGCATGAAACACATCGCATTGGACTATCATTTTGTCAGAGAAAAGGTTACAACTGGTACGTTAAAGGTTTTGCATATTCACTCAAATGATCAACTTGCTGATGCACTTACCAAACCTCTTAGTCGCGGTCCATTTATTCGTTTACGATCCAAGATTGGAGTCTCCGATGGATCCTCCATCTTGCGGGGGCGTATTAAGGCACATGGATAATTAAATCTAAAGGATTTAATTATAGTATTTATTTTAGATACCATTGTAAATATATAGTCAAATAGTTTACCGATTCTATCTCCTACTTTAGCTCCTAGTCAATTGTTGTATCACGGCTATAAAGCCTTCTCCTGTATACTGATTTTACATATAAAAAAACAATTGAATAAACATTCAACTCAATACCTTTATATTTCCTAGTTTAGGCTAATTCTTTCCTGTATATAAACAGTTGTGATGTGAATAAGAAAAAGACTGAAAAGTTTTCATCTTTTGTTTCACGGTATCAGAGCAGGTCCATCCTAGACCTGATCAAACATCTCTGTTTTATTTCCTAAGTTTTATTTCTCTCTAAACTAAACTACTTATGGCCGGGGGAAACCAATCCGATGTCACAAGCGATTCTGCTTCATCTGCAGCAAAATCCACTCTCCTCTCTACTCCTGACCTCGAACATACTCTGCAAATCACCCAACACAAACTTAATGGGTTGAATTTCAGAGAATAGTATCAATCTGTTTTGCTGGTCATCCGAGGGAAAGGGAAAGTAGGCTATCTTACTGGTGAAACTTGTCAACCAAAACATGACGATTCAGGTTATCAACAATGGGCATGAAGCAGAAAACTCCATTATCATGACATTACTTATCAACTCCATGGAGGCACGAATCAGCAGAACATTTTTATTCTACAGCAGCGCTCACGAAATCTGGAAAGGTGTCCAAGATATGTACTCAGATCTTGAAAACACATCTCAGTGTTTCGAGATTCGCTCAATCCTAAGATCCACTCGCCAAGGAACAATGACGGTTACTGAGTATTACAACCGGTTAGTTGATTTATGGCATAATATGGACTTATTCTATTCTATTCCTTGGAAGTGCAGTGATGATGGAAACACATATAACCAAATGCTTGAAAAAGACAGAGTTTTTGATTTTCTTCAAGGACTTAATAAGGATCTTGATGAAGTAAGAGGGCGTATTCTTGGAGTCAAACCGCTGCCTTCTCTTAGAGAAGTTTTTTCTGAAGTTCGTAGAGAAGAAAGCCGACGTAGAGTTATGCTCACATCAAACAAGGGCATTTTTCCGGAAGAACAACCGCAAGGATCAGCCCTTATGTCTTCTCATTCTCAAAATCATAAGGCAAACAAGGATGCTCGTCATTGGTGCGAACATTGCAAGAAACCTTTCCATACGAAGGCAACCTGCTGGGAAATACATGGAAAGCCAAAGGATTGGAAGTCACGAAGCCAGCGTAGAGAAACTCCTTCTGCTCATGTGGTCGAGCAAACCCAGCCACTAAGCTCCGACATCAACAAACTCACTCCACAAAATATGGAGACTCTAAGGTCCCTTCTCCGTGAATTACAATGCTCTGGAGCACCTGAACCAGCCCCTAAAATAGCAACTACACATCACGGTAACATAAAAATGTCTCTGTTAACAAAGAAAACAGATTTAGATGACTGGATTGTTGATACCGGTGCCTCCGATCTTATGACCGGAGATTGTAGAAACTTAACCAACTATAGAACATGTGGTGATGAACTTGGAGTATGTGTGGCAAATGGCACTGTGTTACCGGTTATAGGAATGGGTGATACAAAGTTTCATGGACTTCACTTAAAATCAGTCCTTCACGTGCCACATTTAAAATATAATCTTCTGTCTGTGAGAAAATTAACAAAAGATCAAAACTGTCAAGTAATTTTTCTTTGTGATTTTTGTGTATTTTAGGATCTGCGTTCGGGGAAGATGATTGGCAATGCTAAGGTACAACGTGGTCTCTACTACCTCACTGGTCATTCTCATTTTCCAACCTCGTGTCTAGCACTATTTGCATCAAGTATCTTAAATTCTGATGTAATCCTTTGGCATAAACGGTTAGGACACCCTAGTTTTCAGTATATGAAGCTTTTGTATCCAAACCTCTTCATCAATAAAGATGTCTCTTCATTTTATTGTGAATCATGTATTCTTGCAAAACAAACACGAAGAAACTACCCCATTCGTGTATACCAACCCTCAAAACCATTCCATATTATACATAGTGATATTTGGGGTCCTTCTCGTGTCAAGGAACTAAGTGGCAAGAGTTGGTTCATCACCTTCATAGATGACCATACTCGTGTATGTTGGGTTTTTCTTATAAAAAACAAATCGGATGCTGCGGATGTGTTCATAAAAATTTCACAGCATGATAAAAAACATATTCCAAAGCAATATTCTCATACTTCGAACAGACAATGAGGGGGAATATGTCTCTAGTAACTTAGGAAGATACCTCTCAGAAAATGGTATTTTACATTAGAGTTCGTGTGCTTCAACTCCCTAGCAAAATGGGATTGCCGAGCGTAAAAATCGGCATCTTTTAGAGGTATCACGTTCAATCATGTTCTCTAGTCATGTGCCACAATCTTTTTGGGGAGAATCAATCCTAACTGCTTCCTATCTAATAAACCGACTTCCCTCAAAACCTTTAAAATTCCAAACACCAATCAGTGTTCTTCAAAAAACCTTTCCCGAATCCAGAGTAGTTAATTCTCTTTCTCGAAAAGTTTTTGGGTGTTCAGCATTTGTTCACAATATCAGTCCCAACAAAGGAAAACTTGATCCAAAATCAACAAAATGTGTATTTGTAGGTTACTCGTCTACACAAAAAGGGTACAAATGTTTCAACCCCCACACAAAAAGGTTCTCTACATCTTATGATGTCACATTTCTTGAAAATCTGCCATTTTACTCTTATGATTCTCTTCAGGGGGAGACTTTAAATGAAGAGAATCATTGGGATCCATCTATATCTCTTCCAATGTTGCCTATTTCTGAGTCTATATCACCATCTATCCATCTATATCTCTTCCAATGTTGCCTATTTCTGAGTCTATATCACCATCTATCCATCTATATCTCTTCCAATGTTGCCTATTTCTGAGTCTATATCACCATCTATACCCACGGTAACAGAAAATATCATCCTTGAACCAATTCAAATTTCGGAACCTGTTCAAAGAGAAGAGCCATCTTTACATGTCTACTCAAGAAGACCACGTGTAACTCAACAAAACCAGCCATCAGAACCAACTTCAGATCCTCTACAAGAATTGCAGAAAGAAAAATCCAAAGTGGATGATCTTGATGCTCCTATTGCAATCCGAAAAGGGTAAGATCTTGTACTCAACATCCTATTTCAAAACACTTGTCCTATGAAAGGTTATCTAAAAATCACAGGGCCTTTGTATCTCAACTTGATGACACCACTATTCCTTCAAACATTCATGAAGCGTTAAAGGATCCAAAGTGGAAGGAAGCAGTCTTTGAAGAATTAAAAGCATTAAATGAAAACAAGACATGGGAAGTTGTTGATATGCCTAAAGGAAAGAAATTAGTAGGTTGTAAATGGATTTTTATTGTGAAAGTTGGCAAGAATGGGATTATTGAGAGATACAAAGCCCGTCTGGTTGCTCGAGGATATACTCAAACATATGGAATCGATTATGAACAAACATTTGCACCTGTTGCAAAGCTAAATTCCATAAGAGTATTGTTATCCATCGCAGCTAATCTTGACTGGAAATTACATCAAATGGATGTACCAAATGCTTTCTTAAATGGTACACTAGAAGAAGAGGTGTACATGAAGCTACCCCTTGGTTTCGAGCACAAAGAAAAAACCGGATCAGTATGCAAACTGAAAAAAGCTTTATATGGGTTAAAGCAATCTCCCAGAGCTTGGTTTACTCATTTCAGCAAGGTAATGAAGAATTTTGGATATCGCCAAGGACAAGCAGATCACACTCTGTTTGTTAAAGAGTCAAAGAACAAAAAACGATGTTTCTTGATTGTATATGTCGATGACATAATAATCACCGGAGATGATGTCGACGAGATCAACAACCTCAAACGGCTACTGCAATCAGAATTCAAAGTCAAGGATCTAGGAAAATTACAATATTTTCTTGGAATAGAAATTGCTAGAAGCAAAGATGGAATCTTCATTTCACAAAGAAAATATATCCTAGAACTCCTACAAGAGACAGCAAAGCTTGGTTGCCGACCAGCAACTACTCCAATAGAAAAGAACTGGAAAGAAAAGTTGACTGAAGAAGACCCTCCAACAAATAGAGAAAGATACCAACGAATAGTGGGAAAGCTGATTTATCTATCACTCACTAGGCCGGATATTGCCTATAGTGTTAGCCAAGTAAGTCAATTTATGCACGCTCCAACTATTCGCCATCAAAATGCAGTTGATCAAATCCTTAGATATCTGAAGGGAACACCTGGAAAAGGAATGCTTTATAAAAAAACCAAGAACCGAAAGATTGAGGAATTTACTGATGCACATTGGTCAAATAGCAAATCAACAACAGGGTACTGTAACAAGTTTTGGGGAAATGTGGTCACTTGGAGAAGCAAAAAGCAATCACTCGTGTCAAGAAGTAGTACTGAAGCAGAGTATCGTGCTATTGCACAAGGAATTTGTGAGTTAATATGGTTGGACAGATTATTAATAGAATTGAAAATTGATGTTAATGGTCAACTACACCTCTACAGTGATAGTCAACCAGCGATTGCAAATGTTCATAATTCTATACAACATCATCGTATGAAACATGTCCGTATTGATAGGAATTTCATCAAGTCGAAGATTGAAAGTGGAAAGATAAAGCTCTCATATGCTCCCTCAACCGATCAAGAAGCTGATATCCTGACAAAAGCACTGTTGAGAATAAGTTTTGAGTCAAATGTATCCAAGTTGGGAATGATTTATATACATTCACCAACTTGAGGGGAGGTGTTGGAAATATTACAACTGTACCTTATACAGCTGTTGACTGCTATATTTAACAGTTGTATATTGGCCTAAATTAGCTCTCTAATTGCCATTATATTAGATGTATTTTTAGACCTTAATTCTGTAATTAGAGTAGATTATCTCTTTCCTAGTTTAGGCTAATTCTTCCCTGTATATAAACAGTTGTGATGTGAATAAGAAAAAGACTGAAAAGTTTTCATCTTTTGTTTCACATTTAAACTAAAAAGATTTCTGAAAGGGAAGCATAGCAATAGAAACCGGACATTCTAAAATCTACAAGTGCAAATTGATGAAAGTTTTATGAGAATGAGGATGCATGTCCCCACTGAATTTGACCTATAAGTGGCCAAATGGAGCTATATGGAACGCACCTTGCTGGCATCCATTGAATCTGGCAAACGTAGAGCTTTAAGGTGAAAGGAATCAACTATATCAGGGAACTCCCAGCTTTGTTTATTAGTCTGCAATGTACACATACACTAGAAAATTAGTTGACCATAATAGAACCATAATAAATGGTTTTATTATTTCTTATGACTAGCTCAAGAACAAGAGAGAACAGAAAGAAAATGATTAAAGAAATTTTCTGAAAAACTCAGTTTATATGTACAGCTATAACAAAGCTTATATATATATATATATATATATATATATATATATATATATATATATATATATATATATATATATATATATGGAATAGTTCAAATAAAAACGGTAAATAGTGTGAGAACGTAAAAAAACAATTTTTTATGTTATTATTCTGCAATGAATTTGATATCGGCAGCTTTATGTCATTATTCAGCAATGAATAAATGAATAGTCAAAGTTTAAAACTAAAATTAGAATTTACTACAAAAATGAACATACATTAGTTTATAATAGAATAATAACATTGTAATGAATATATCAGAATAATAATATAAAAATAGTGTTTTTACGTTCTCACAATATTTACTGTTTTTATTTGAACTTACTATATATATATATATATATATATATATATATATATATATATATATATATATATATATACTAACAGATGTTTATTAACAACTTGAAACTTGTTAACTTGCTTCATCAGAAAATTTTGGCATGGAATTTTCTGCTTACCCACTTGAAAAGGATGTGATAGTTTGTGGTTTAGATTTCTAGAGAATTAGATTGCCTCCAACTAAAATGTAGTAGCCAATAAGGGATCTTTTGAAATGAGAGCAGTAAGCTTGCAAACATAAATTCGAGTATGAAGCAGTAAACATTGAGAAGGATGTTTGTTGAGATTTCTAAGAATTAGTCTAGCTTTGCATCTTTATACTAAGATGGGTAAATGGGATTGAAAAGGAAACTTTCAAGAGGTTTTAATACGTATTTATGATTACTTTCTATTAGCCCGTTTTTTAAAGTGTCCTAGTGCAACTAGTTAGATGTCCTATGGAGGAAATATATGTGGTTGCTTCAATTCCTGAATCCAATTCCAAATCATTATTAGATATTACGATTTGGATTTTGGAACTAAAGTGAGTTGAGGCCATGTCTAATTATCTATGAAGCCTAAAGTAATGTAAAGAGCATTACTTTTTTAGATGATCAGTACAAGTTACATCGTTTAAATCATCTTCAATGAATAGAAAATATGTACAACCATTGTAGGTAGAAACATGTAAGTTCCCAACAAATCAATATGTATTATATATTGTGAGCAAAAAAAGAAGTCAATGTCACATTGTTCTAAGACAAACAACACAGCAAGAGTACAAAGAACTATATCGTGTTGGAAATGTATACAACTTACTTGATATTCGAGTGCAGTTTCAAGCATTCTGACGATATCCGTCATTGACGGACGTTCTTCACGATCTCTCTTCAAGCATCGATAAGCTATTGTTGTAAAAGCCCTCAATGAATTATGGTTTATTTCATCTCGTATATAACCATAAATAATTGTATGTATTTTTTTTTGTTCGTAGCATTCTCGCGCCAACCCTGTTAAGGGACGGTCATCGTTTTTACAAATACACAACCTCCCACACAATACTCGAACAATACCACACCGAGAGAGTAAACATCAGACTCCTTTGTTAGAAACCCAGTCTCCGCGTATAGCGGATCACAATATCCAACCGTGCCTACTGCAGAGGTGAAAAGAAATGTGAACTTGCTAGCTTTAGCAAATTTGGACAGTCCAAAGTCTGATATCTTTGCGTTCCAATTTTCATCCAATAGGATGTTGGAACTTTTGATGTCACGATGCAACACTCTAACGTGGGTGTCGACGACAGAATTGTGAAGGTATGCTAATCCACGGGCCATCCCAATGCATATCTTCAAGCGTTGGATCCAAGTTAAAGCATTGCTATTGAGCTGAAAGTCTAGACTTCTCTTGGATGCATATTCATAAACAAGAATCTTCTCATCACTCTCGTCACAAAATCCTAACAGATGGACCAAATTTTCATGTTTGTAAAGTGATAGCATTGTGATTTCCTTCCAAAACTCAGGGTTTCCTTGCCCAAATGCACGGTCTAAACGCTTGAAAGCAACCATTGACTGCCCCTTCGAATGGACGATTTCTCCCTTATACACATTCCCAAATCCTCCTCTTCCGATCCAATTCTCAAGAGAGAAGTTGTTGGTTGCAGATTTTATGGCTTCTAACGTTATTTTGAGGTGTTCAAACTCTCTTATATGAGACATTGTTTTGATGACCGAACAAAGGGCTGACAAATAAATTAGGAACAAGCACTACAGAACAAGTTTACCAGAAACAAGTTCAGAATTAGTAGTTAAACAACACAGCAGATCAGCCAACAGTCAATCAGCAATTGCAGTGAAAACTGTGTATTTGCTTGAAGCTAAACCATCATAGTCCAAAGTCAACGTAAGCCCTGCTTGACTTTTGCATTTCAGATCTGATAACAAATTTTCATCATAACTACGTTACGCAAGAAGAAACCAGATGTTATGAAAGAGTCAACTAGTTGACTTGGGATCGCGGCTCGAACCAGTAAAGCAACAGAAATCGAAGAAACGAATTTGCTAAGGAATTGGATAGAGCAGCTTATCTGAACAAATTTACAGGCCTTAAATAAAGCTTTTGTACAAATTATCGGTGTCGCCGTGTCGTTACTGTACTGTCTTCGGCGTAGCAGCAACCTTCACTGACCCACCATTTCAGACGAGCGAGGAAGATAGCTGGTGTCAGGAAGACTCAGAGTTGCAAAGGCTTTGTTTGTTTATGATTTTTTTGTTGGGTTTTGACTTGTCATTTTATTATTATTATTATTATTATTATTATTATTATTATTATGTCTTTTCTATTTTGATTATGATTTTATTTCGTAATTTAGTCCCATTTTCATTTTTATTGTGCTCATATATTTAATTGGAATAGAATTTCATCAAAAGTCGAAACTTTTATTATTTTATTTTGAGAAAATTACAAAAATAGTCCACAACTTTAGTTATGTACTTTTCTTAAATCAAGTCCTAAGTTTTCAATACAGACATTGGACATTGATTGTTACTAAAGTCATTTCTAATACATTGAACTCATATAAATTCAATAAATTGGTACATCATTTCATACACTGTATAATTTTATCTATTAAACTCTATATTTCATTAAACTCTATATAATTCAATAGATCGTCACATCGTATATTATGTTCTTTTTGGCTATTATTATTTTGTAAATAATTACTTGGCATGAAATTAAAATTTAAAACTACAATTATAAATAAGAGTAATTAAAAATTAAAAATTGCAAATTTGAAATATAAAATAATATATATATATATATATATATATATATATATATATATATATATAGGGTTAGGTTATTTTGTTTCTAGTAACTATTGTTTGCCAGAATGCACAGATCTGGACCATCGGATGGAATATAATCAAAGGTCATGATATGAGGGTCTATTATAGTAGAATAGGATAACATATACCATATAATCACACAAATTTCAGCATAAGACATTTTAGTCAATTAACCTATATTAAAAAAGGAAATTTTCAGATTTTTAGGGATAATTAATTCCTTTATTTTTAAAAATCTGAATATTTTAAATTAATTCAAAATTAAAAATCTGATTTTATTCTGTCAGAATGATAGAATGTTAACCATAAACTAGTAAATATATTTTTCGATTTTATTCTCTCTGACAGAATGTCAACCATAAACTAGTAAATACATTCTGAAAAGAATACACAAAATCAATTCTTGAACTAATAATATACCAAATAATTACATTGTATGATTGTGATTCATTGAATAATAACAACATTCTGAAAGAAAAAAGAAAAAAATATCAAAATCTAACAACAAACAATAATCTATTCTGAGAGAATATTATTTTTTAGCAACACTTTATACATTGTAGCATAACACATTCTGGTATAATACACTCTCGTTCTATATGTTTTCTTCCTTCTCCACATCAATGTTAGCCTCTTCAAAACCTAAATCCACAAAGAAAACATAATTAAGTTTCAAAAATTAAAGAATTCAATGCATTCTAAGAGAATAAAAACTATAAATTCTGACAGAATGTATTAAAGACTATAAAGTTTGACAGAATATAGTAGAAAATAAAAACTATAAATTCTGACAGAATATAGTAGAGACTATAAAGTCAATCATAAAGTATCACAAATTCATTACCAGTTACACAAATATACTTGTTGTTGACAATTATTCTCAAACATTCTAACAAAATACATTTATATAAAATAAATTCTAATAGAATACATTACATAATTCAAGAGCTGTGATTGAATACAGAATTCAAGAGCTGTGATTGAATAATGAACACACATCTGCATTCATTCCCAGTCATGAATTCAAGAAAGAAACACACATTTACATTATTAATTTAGAAATATGAAAACCAATTTTGACTTTTTCGAAACAAAATCCAACTTATGATTGTGAAGTGCAAGTTGTATCAGAATATTTCTTTAATCGA